GTACTGGAAAGTAATTGTAAACCTTGTATACGAAGTTTTTAGTATAAAGACATAACACTGCCCTGGGGGCAGGCAGAGTGCCTGGACTGTCTTGTTGAGCAGACCTTGGCAGGACAGGAGAAAGAATTTAATAGGTAAGATACAATAAACAGCCTTGAGACAGAGACATGAAGAGCTCTGACTCCTTCTTCAAGTGCCAGCCTGGGAAAAGAGACTTTGCAACTTTTCTCAGGGTCACTCTGACAAGCTAGAGATCCCAACATGACAATAGCATTTTATGATTTCTCATGGCCTCTCAGCTACAAGCAGCTCAGCTGGGTTGCAGTTGTCACCAACATGCCCCTACATGAGTAAGAATGAAAGGTAAAAAATTCCATCATTTTTATTCCTTAGTTACTATTTTTTCCAATCCCTGTGCTCAGAGGCAGAGTTGCTCAGAACAGGGCCAGATTTTATGGCTTTTAACAAAGCTCTGGCCTGCTTTGTGTTTAAAGTCAAAGTCAAAACTCAGGAATAAGCAGTGTGGGAAGAGTTAGGCTCACACATCATGCAGTCTAGCATCTGCCCTATCATATTCCCTGGCCTGAGATGCTTTCCCCAACTCATTTTTGGTAACTGGTGCTCAGTCCTTTTGCAGTCTCAAGCCCTGACATTTGCATGCACAGTGGGAAAGGTCACACAGGGTGGTCAATATCGTGGTCTTGTTCAGAGAATGCTGGGGAATACCACCCTTCCTAAGAAATGATTCAGTCATGGTAATGATAGTTAAGGGGGTTTAAGTGGGAAGGAATGGAAGTAACAAAGTATTGGAGTTGACAAGGCAGAAGGAACGTTATATGCAAGGTTCTAGAAATTACTCCAGAGCCCTAACTGCTAAATCCCTGAAGTCTCTACCCTGCCTTTAGTCACTGCTCTGTCTTCCAATACAGTGATTTTCATTACTATACCTGTGGAAAGAGAAGATGACATTGACCCCAGTATGCAATTTGGTCATACCCTGCCTTTTATGTCCCAAGTCCAGCCAGTGTAAGAAAACAATCTGTGCTGGGGACACTGCTGACCTGTGGTTAGTCTAAATAATTCACCTAAAGGCTCTCTTTAGCATTCAGTATTTTAATTCTCAGATGAGTCATTTGGGGCACTGTTTAACCATTTTCACAACTTTTAGGTCGTCACACTTTCAAATCTGCCTGAATTTTCACATCTCTGTCTAGCAAACAGCCTTCACTCTCACTTCTTCCTAAAAACACTTCTAACTGGGAGAAGAGTTACAATCAAACTATTTGTTCAGTTAATAGATCCAGGCTCAACCCATCACCCTTCTGCCTGCAGTGCTGGCCTGTATCTTCCCTACACTCTGCAGTCTCTGATCTGCACCACATTCCCCGGGCTGTTGCTGAGGGTAACTACTGAGGAGCCATGTGGACTGTACTGTGCAAAAGTGGAAACAGAATCCACAGTGAGGTGCATGAGGGGACCCAGAAACATGGAGCATACATCCCACCAAAAGCCATGGGATCCATGCTCCCAGCCTGTGCATGCAGTGTTGTCACTGTCATATTTTCTGCGAAATCCCTTCACCAGGATTTCTTCTCCTGGGAAGCTGAGAAGCCTTAGAGAAAAATGAAAACAATAATTATCTGATTCGCTTCTCCTGTGTTTTGCTGCTTTGAAATGTGGTTTGGACATTGTTTACCAACTGGTCATTGTTTCATTGGTTTCATGGGAATTGTTTTAACTTAATGACCAATCACTGTCAAGCTGTGTCAGATTCTGAGGAGAGACTCGCGAGTTTTTCATTAGTCTCTTTTTGCCTTCTGTCTGTCTCCTTTCTGTATTCTTTAGTATAGTTTAGTATAGTATTCTTTAACATAATATAGATCATAAAATAATAAATTAGCCTTCTGAGAACATGGAGTCACATTCATCATTTCCTCCCTACGACAAGGGACCCAGAAAATACCACACAGTGTGTTGCAGGCATCAGGACACCAGGGCCTGGATTCACACTTCTTGGACTGACCTGCAGCCAGAATTCCCAAAGTGCAGCGAGCTCGGTAATTACCCAATTTATCTCTTTATTCCATCCGAGAGAGGAGCGAAGTACGGCGTTTTCCCTCCTCTTCAGAGCCACCTGATGCCCCTTTGGGGATGACACTGGTACATTAGCTGAAGTGTTGCCCTTTACAGTGCTGGGCACCTGGCCAGCCCTCCTGCAGCCAGAGGCTGGGCGTGCAAAGGGCTTGCACATAGCTCCCTTCCATTCAGCCTCTCCCAACAGCTGCTCTGGGGATGATGGGGGCAACAAGATCCTTTTCCAGACCCCCTGGGGATAGTCTTTGCCAAGTCTGTTTATTCATTGATTTAAGAAATCCAGCTGCAATTATGAACAAGCTACTGAGAAAAGAAGCCTGAGTTGAGGACTTGGCTCCGAGCAGGGCTCTTTGCCACTGTGCTCAAACCTGTGCTTGCTTCACTGCAGCCCTGTCCCCACCACCATCACATGCATGACACAGTCACAGTGCTGATCATCCCTTCACTATACATCATACAGCTTTCTGGCAGAGAAACTCCTCCTACCAAAGTCTCAAGGCGCTCTGTGACAAAGGAGACAGAGAAACAAACCTGGTCATTGCCACTTCTCACTGCCATTAGCTTGTCACATTGCCTTTGTCAGGCAGGACAGAATCCTGGATCCTCATTGGCATAACTGTCTCCTGCAAAAAATACCAGCCTGGGTCCTGATGGCGTGGGGCAGCTTGATCTGTTTTCCCAAAGATGTCAGTTTTCCATCAGTGCAGGTTTACTTTAATTTGGAATAAATCCTAAAATCTTGCTAGCCCTTTCTTGTCATGCCTTTTTTGCATTTGGCACACAGCTTTGCTGAGACCATGTTGAGCAATTCCAAGGGAGAAGATATTTCAGAGCCCTAAACATCCTTAGCTGCAACACCGAGTGTTTCAAAATAAAAAATGTTGTGGAATCACAGCATGGTTGATGCCACACAGGACATATGAAGATTGCTTACACGAAGCTCCTTCTCAAAAGAGAGACAGCTGGAGGAAGTTAACCAGAGCCTTATCCAATCATCCTTTGAACATCTCCAAACCCATAGATACACAACCAATGCTACAAAGTTTGGCCACCATCACCATAAAGCCATTTTTCAGTTGTTTAAATGCCTCCCCTCTCTCTATTAATATTTATGCCTGGAAGTATAAAGAAATATAAGATCCGCCCTGACTCTTCTCCTCTCCAGGCTGAACATTCCCCATTCTCTCAGCCTCTGCTCATATGATGGTTTCCTTCAGTAGGCAAGAACCTCACTACTGGAGTGTTTGGCTTCAGCCTGTCATGGTTGATCTTGGATCATTCTCAAATTAAAATAGGCCATTAGTAGGAGGTATTTTCCTCTCAGTACTCTATATCAATAATAATCAATCCATCATCTAGTCTTCCTATTTAGTTAGTTTCACTTGTCAGTTTCTTTAAGACTTCCTTACAGCCTTAAACCACAGTCCCACCATGTTTATTCCTGAGCTGTCTCCAGTTTTCCAGCTTGCCTGTAATTGTGGCGCCATACCCAGGATTTCCCCATGATGGCTCACTCCAACTTTCCACACTCATATTTAGGCCAGCAGGAATCTTGTTAACTGTTTTTGCTGAAGATTTGACCATCCTTACTCTCTACCCCTCCTTAGCCATGCAAGGAGCCCATTTGCCTTTTTTAACAGGACAACACAGTAAGAACTCGTGTAATCTTGTGTATCCTCTGTGACTTGGCAAGTTTTCAGGGGTCCTTTTGTAAGGGTGGCTTTTATTCTTATGTGTTCCTACCTAATTATGTTTCTCCTGCCTGTAAGAAAATGTATTTTGTTTGAATACACTTAACTTATCAAGTTATCTAGATCTCTTTGAGTAGCCTGTTCCTCTTGCAACCACCCTATTCATGCTTGTGTCATCTGTAGGGTTTTACCTGATTTGTACTTTCCTTAAAATCATGGTTGGAAACGTTAACCAGTTCTCATTTAACAACTGATCCCTGCAGAAACCAGACAAAATAGAGTATTCCAAGCAGACAATTATCCCTTCTGCCTATCTAAAGTTCTCAATCCACTTAATCTATATTTTATGGACTTTGCATCTTCTGAATCAATACAACATATCATAATTCTCTTTTTATCAATAGGCCATGCCTTACAAAAACTCTGTACCATAACACTATGAATTTACTGTATCAAACACAACTTTATTATGAAATTGAATGTCTCATTCCAAAAAGCCACATTCCTATTCTGTATTTCTCCATTAACTGACATCTGCAACAAATGCTTTTTCCATTATTTTTCACTGGATACTTGCCAGTTACCTGGCCTTTAGATCCATTCATCTTAAAGCTTCTCCACTTTAAATGCAGGAACCATGTTGGCGCCTTAACATCTCTATACCATTCCTACAGTAATTAAAGAGTAATTAAAGCCAATCTCAGCAGGCTGGAGTTGAGCAGCATTTATTATGATTTCAAGTAATGAAAAATTCTAAGAGATGGAAGTAAGCCAAAGAAAACTGTATCTTGGACAGTGTGAGCATAATGCTGTTTGGTAAGCTAGGTTGGAGAGTTGGAAGACTCAAGACGTAAATGATGCAGGGAGCAGGAGCAGCACAAAATAGTAGTACAGAGGTGATGAGCAAAAGGTGTTTACCAGGTGATAGGTAGTATTGGTAGAAAAGTTAAGACATGCTAAAATGCCAGTGGGGGAGAAGAAGGTGGACAAAAAAGCTGCAGGTTGGGGAAGCGTAGAAGAAGGACTGTGTACAGAAAGGGTCTGACATGAAAAAAAAAAAAAAAGCTGAAATGCTAGAAAGTATAGTGCTGGGACACTGCATGTTTTGGAGTTATGAAGCCCCTGAGAGTGAAAAACAAGCTGTGAATGTTTCCAGCAAAAGACCAGGTTAAGTGCAGGAAGGGATTATTACCAACATCAAAATCCTGGGGATTGAAAAGAGGTAGAAAAGTAAAAATGGCTACTAACCCCTAATTCCCTCTTTGCTACTCCTTTCCAGGATTCAAATGTGCACCTAGGATGATATCAGGGCATTAGGAGAGGTGTGTGTGTAGGGAAGGGTTCAAGAAGTGATAGGAAAGAGGAGAAGAAAGGTCTTGTAGAGGGGTAGCCAGGCATTTAAAGGAGCATGAAGGACATTGTCTTAGGACCTGAAGGCAATACAAGAGAAGAGATGTGTTTGGGCTGGCATGAGATAACCATGAACGTTCCCCAGCCATCACCCATGGCTACATTCTGGCATCTCCCCAGCTCCTCCACCCTGCCAGCCTGAAGTCACCCTCCAGGCGTCCTGTTGTGGGCACAGGCAGCATCCAGAGATGGCCCCTGCCTTGGACAGCTTGTCCTGAGACAGCTGCAAGTTCTGACACGCTCCCTGCTTTCCAACAGCAAGTGGGTCCCAACAGGCATTTATTGTGAGGGAAAACGAGCCACATACAGAAACACAAAGTACATATTTTGCTCTGTTTTGAGGCACAGCAGGTGCTGCAGCCTAAATAACTCCCTGTGGCTAGGAAACAGGGGGATGCTTCACACAGTCATTTCCAAGAGAAAGATGCTTCCAAGCCACAAGGAGGCTGCACTGGGCAACACTGAGTCCTGGGGTGAGGGCCATCCACTGGGGAAGGAGCTTGGCTCTGTGGCAGCAGGGACAGTGCAGCAGAGAAGTTGCTCTCTGGGCCACCACGGCCTCTCACACCCAAGCCACCATGGTGCCCAAACTCTGAAGCCCCTTGCAGGCTCCTTCCCTCCTTCCTGCCGTGGGGAGCAGGCCCTAGGACTGCCCTAGGACTTCACGGCAGCCTCCTCACCGCGTCCGTCCTCCTGCCGCCAAGGGCAGCCGACGTAGTGCAGCACGGCGCTGACAGGGCCGCGCTTGGCGGGATCCAGAGCCAGCAGGCTCCGCAGCATGCCGGCAGCCTCGGCCGTCAGGCGCCTCCAGTGCCGGGGCACGTCCTTCTCCAGGCCTGTCTCCTGCCACTGCATGAAGTCCTCAAAGAAAGGGTCCTCTGGCAGGCTCTGCTCCCAGAGGAAGTAGCCGGTGAGCAGGCAGAAAAGCAGCACCCCAAAGGCCCAGGCATCCATGCTGGTGTCGATGGGCACCCCCTGGGCATCAGCAGTGTTGCTCAGCTCGGGGGCGGTGTAGGGGATTATCCCGGCCACCAGCTTGAGCTTGGTGCCCTTGGGCCTCGTGAGGCCGAAGTCAGTGAGTTTGACGAGCCGGCAGTCGGGATCAAAAAGCAGCACGTTCTCGGGCTTGATGTCACGGTACACCAGCCCGCGGCTGTGGATGAACTCCAGCGCGCTCACCAGCTGCTTGGCACACTGCTTTGCGGCCAGCTCAGGGATCCCATCCTGGGCAGGGAGAGAGACAGGCAGGATGACACACATGGGGCACCTCAGCAGCCCTGCCAGATGGGCTCTCACTTCAGTGCTCTGCGCTGGGAAACACCTTCACATTTCTCACCTTGCAAGCCCAAGGCTGCTTCAGTGCGGCAGACCCCAGATAGATACACAGCCATTGCCTTTATCTCCCTCCCTCTGACCCAGCCAGCCTCCAGAGGGACCAAATGCTACAGCCCAGTCCCCATGGCCTTATGGCAACACTCACGCGGGGTTTGATGATAGAGATGAGGTCTTTGTGCAGCGCTGGTTCATAGAGGAAGCCATAGTACTGGCTGGACTCAATGGCAATTCCGAACATGCCGATGATGGCAGGGTGGGTGGCGAGGGACAGTGCTACACAATACTCATACAGGAAGGTGTGCAGCTTGGTACTGGCTTTGGGTAGCAGCTTGAGAGCCATAGGAGTCCCTGGGGATGGGAAGAGTGAGTTTGACTCCTCTGAAAGTCACAACAAGGCAAGACAGAGCAGCCACAGATTCAGACAGTCACAGCCACAGGGAGGTCTCTGTTCCAAAGCTTGTGTGGGTATACCCTGTGGACAACAGGTCTGGGAATAGGAACTGCTGCTGGTGTGAGTTTTGAGCCCTGGGCACAGTAGGGACATCGGGATACTTGGGCCCCTCAGTCTGAGCTGGGACTACCGGGGAAGAGCAGTGTCAGGGCACTAATATGGCCAACCCAGGATGTTCATTCACACCCTCTGTCCACGGGCCTTAGGGCACCACTTCAGGTCACAGGCTTGGGGCTCTGTGACTGAGGAGCCCTGTGATGGGACTGCTGTTTCCATCTATACTACATGCATTTTGGTGCATATCTGTGAGCTCTCCTAATCCTGGTTTTTGAATTAACTTCCCAGCTTGGCCTTGGACCTGTCTCATCACTATAACCTTGCCAGATAATCTGGGCTGCCCCCTGGCATCACCTGGTCCCTGGCTGGATGGCATGGGATAGAGCTAGGTGGGGAGGTCCCCATCCTGCTGGTCTCCCTGGGGACTCTCCCTGCCATGCCTGGTGTCTGTCCCCAATGTGCCACCAGCCCACCCCATGCCCTGGTGAGTGGAGAGGCACAGTAGTTCACAGGGCACTCAGCTCCTTACCTCTCTGCCTGTGGGTCACTAGCATCACGTGGCCATACTTGCCCCTGCCCAGCTCCCGAACAACCTCATAGTGCTCAGCCACCTCGGTGCGCACCAGGCTCTGGGCGGTGATCTCCAGGAGCTCCTCCAGCTTGGTGGGTGCTGCTCTCTCTGGCACTGCTGCGGTCACGGCTGAGCTCTCTGCCATCGCTGAGGGCTGCAGGAACACCGCAGCCAGAGTCAGGAACATCACAGCACACTCAGAGAAAGTCAGATCAAACATACAATACAAACCATGCCATGGCGTATTTCTGCCACTTGGAGCCTGAGCACTCTTGCTGCTGTGCCAGAATTGAACCTGCACTTTTATACAGCACATCTCTGGGCAAAGCCCCTCATCATAGAAAAGGTCTCTCTATTGAAGGGAACCTCCTCCAGCCCCCTAATCCTTTTGCCTAATATTAGACAACAGGCAAAACATTAGCAGAGTCCCAGATTTTCAAGTATGACCCAGTCACCCCTTCTTGCTCTCCTTAGCCTACAGCAGCAAGACCTCGTCTCTCTACTCAAAATTCCACCTCTAAAGCTTACTGGAGAAAGTCCTTGAGTCAGCAGATGAGACAGATCTGTCCCTTAGGACATGTGACAAAAGGCAGAGTGCCCCAGGAAAGCCAAAGGGAGCTCAGTACCTCACATGCCTGATGACATTTCTGACCAAAAGTCATGCCTCTGTGCAGCCAAGTAACTTGTACAGGAAGTAACCTAGGACATGAATGGCATTTTGAGCTCTAGCCAGCTGCTTCAGGCCCATTTCAGAGAAGTGGTTTTTCACTTTTCCCAGCCAGCCACAAGGCAGGATTTTAAGGCCTCTGGGGCAGCACTCTGCCCCTGTCTACTTCCCTGTGCTCTGAACAAGGTACTTTGGGCCTGGGAGCTCCTCCTGGCCTTGGAGCAAGGTCACAGAACCAGAATCACAGGATGGAAAATGCCAGAAGGTACTTCTGGAGACCTCTTAGTGCAACATCCTGCTCAAAGGAGGGTTAACTAGAGCAGGTTGTCTGGTCCCCAGCCCAGTTTTAAATATCTACAAGGATGGAGATGCCACAGCTGGTCTGGGTAACCTGTTCCAGTGTTTAATCACCTTTGTGGTAAAAAAGATTTTAACTTATGCTTAAAAAGAAATTCTGTTTCAGGCCCACTGTCTCTAGTTCTGTCACTCAGTATCAGATGATACTGTGATACACCTGGCTGTGTGTTTTTGCAGGTATTCATTTGCATCAGATGACCCCTTCAAGCCTTCTGTTCTTGAGGCTAATGAAGTCCCAGCTCTGTTACCCTCTCCTCCAATGAGAGATACTCCCACATCTTAACTGTCTTCACAATCTGGATTTGTTCCAGAATGTCCACATCTCTCTTCTGCAAAGGAGCCCCACTGCTGCTAAATCCAGTCATTCTTCAAAATACAGAAATATGGAAAAAAAAAATAATTATTTAAACCTGGGAAATCTACAACAATGCTGGATTTCTACAGGAGCCTGAGACTGTTTGTGGGGAAGCTCCTCTTCCCTTCCCTCTCTCCTTGACTGCATTTCTAAATTTTATCCAATTCAGAAGTGCCAAGTAATTGCCCCTACTTTTTTTGCAAGAGTAGAGCAATAAAGTGAATGGGCCACCTTGTAAGAACAGGTCATCCAGAGGATATGGGTAGAGTTTCTTGACAGCCTGTGACCTGCAGGTCTGATCAGGGCTCCTTATGAAGGAAGCCCCAGCTGCAGTCACTCCAGAACAGTTTGCAGACTTTGGCCCTTGCTGCCCTTGGAGTCATGAACTACAAGAGAAAGTCCATACTTGAGAAAATAGCTGACGTGTTCAGGTCTTTCTTTGAGATGCCACTGTGATTAGCTAGGAAGGTAAGTGAGGATCAAATTTGGACCACTGCTGAGTAGAGTTTGTCTAGATGCTCTGCACCTACTTGTGATACCTTCTAAAATGTCATTTTCCCTTTGCAGATTGACAAGCACTGAAGAGAAGGTCAGCAGGGCCCTGAGCAGCATGCATTCACCATTTGGCTGTGCTGTACTGAAGGCAGCAGGCAGAGTCCTATTCAAACCTGTTCTTTCCTCCACTATCATTTCCAGGCTTCATCCCTGCTAAATCTCTTGTTTCCAGGCTGCTGACTGTGAGAAACTGTATTTCCTCAAAAGAATCTCTAATTGCAGCAGTAAAAAGTTCACATCCTTTACACCATCACGAGATACTTCTGAACCACCTGAGAAGCTAAGGGGGATCTAGCCTATGGAGATACAATGTCTTAGTCCAAGTAATGTTATTCTGGTTCTTCAACTAAAATGACTAATATCCTTAGTGCAGAAAAACACTTCATACATGTCAAAAGCCAAAGACAGTGTGATCCCTATATAACAGAGGCAGTGCTGTAATAACAGAATCACAGAGGTGTTTAGGTTGGAAGAGACCTCTTGAGATCATCTAATCCAAGTCACCTGCTCAAGCTGAAGCAGGTTGTCTAGGAAGGTGTTCAGACAGGTCTTCAATATCTCCATAGATGGAGACTCCCATCAATGATCACTGCTTAGAAGAGTCTGGCTCCCTTTTCTTCATTACCCCTCACCAGATATTTATATACACCAGTAAGACCCCCTCTGAGCCTTCTCTTTTTCAAGCTGAAGAGTTTCAGCTGTTTCAGCCTCTTCTCATATCAAAGATAGTCTATTAAAAATGGCCTTGAGCATATGACATGTGGGGTCCATTTTCTTGTCTGACCTTCTACAGGGCATTAACACAAACCAAATAACAAATAGCATCTGGGGCATCTCTTTCAAAGAAAAAGTCATTCAGGCTTGATCCAAAGACAGTTGGTCAATTATAAATGCTGGTGTGAACATTCTTGCTGTTAGGTATTCGTATGATAACCTAATCTGAATTTACCGAACCTGCTGCTGAAGTTTCTCAGATAAAGAGGTTTCTAATACCCGTTAAATTTCTCCAAACCCTTGCAGGGTTTATATGCACTGTGGTCAGAGGTATGACCACAGGCTATGAGAATATATTTTCAATTAATTATGCTGTGTGAAACTACGAGACTGAAGCTCAAGCTATGCATTTAACTGATGCCTACTTAGGCTTCACAAAACATCTGTCACACTGTGCTTCTGTAGTGCCTGCATCAGTTACTTAAAAAACAGATGAGATGCTGCCACAAAATGTGGTCATGTCTTGAATTGAGAATAGGCATCTCTGTGCTCTATGTTTGCTTATTGGTTCAATGCCTTCGAATAACTTTCTGTCTACTTGTCAGACCCTTGGTCTCAGATTGACCAGTCTGCTTGTCCAGCTCTCAAATCTGTTTCATGGATCTTTTCTAAAGTCTCATCATTTTTGTCCCCCCATTTCCCAAAGAAAACCCTGACTGTCTTGGGGAGAATGCCTCCTGTCACACATTCAGCTAGAATTACCCCCTGCCTCATGCTGTGGCCTCAAAATTTCTTTGTAGGACTGACACACAGGCTGCACTACCTTATACATCCATTATGAGTCCAGAGTTTTTCCAAATTACTGGGAATGGTGGGGAAAAAAACAACTTCCTCTTCATGTCCCTTTATGGGTGCTGCCTGCCTGGTTTTTACCTGAATGTTTTTGCACCATGTTTAGTAAAGCACACTTTGCTCAAATGGATTTAGTGCACCATATAATTCATATCACCCAGTAGTTATCACACTTCTGCTTCAGGGCTGTGTAAGGACCCCACCTGCAGGCACCTCCCGCCAACCTCTAAATTGTTGTTTTGAAGCAGTTCTCATCCTGGTATTGGTATATATATATATATATATATATACAGCAGCTGCCAGAAATGTCCCATTCACTGGTCATTTCCTGAAAGTTATCTGTACAAATTCATCCTGGCATTGATTTAAACCAAGAAGCAACACATTTTTAATTAATTATTTAAAAGCCCAGTATATAGTGGAAAATGCCATATTTTATTGTTGCTCTCACCCTACACAATTTTTTTCAATCCTAACTCTGTCATAATACTTTCATTTATGTCAGTGATCTAGAAGGAAACACTGAAGTCATCCAGAAAAATACTGCAAATGGCACAAAAAAGGGTTTGGGTAGACAATGCGTTGCTTGGTAAAACTGCAACTGTGTACATGCATACACATACACAGATACAAAAGCATTCCAAATGACCAAAGAAGTCAGGATTTTAGTCTGACATTGGATGAGTAACAGGGGGGGGAAAAGACGCAAAAAAAGTCATACTAATCAGACACATCTAGTTTCTTCATGCTGCTTAATGGGCACTACGTAAATCCAGAAATGCAGATTTGGAATAGCTTCACTGCCTTTGCAGGCCTTAAAACATTGGATGATACAGAATTGCAGTAGAAATAATCTACAGTGAGATAGATACACATCTTAATGTTACAGATACAAGTCTAAGAGCATAACAGATCAATGTTACAGATTTCTCTTTTGCATTCACTCTGCTAAAGAGAATGCCTGAAAAGATTCAGATGCAGGAAACATCAGCAGTGAGAGGCAAACTAACATTTTCCAGATGCTAAATTAAGAAAGTAAGCTTCACTGTAAACAAAAGAAAACAAACAAGAAAAAAAAAGTAGAGACAGCTGTTCAGTTTCACGTAGGCTGAGATGATTGTAACAAAAGAAGAGATCTGTTCTGAGGCCATGTGCCTCTTACAGTGAACTCCAGTTTCTGCAGAGGTTCCTACATACAGATGCAATGAGACAGTCTGAAATTTAATCTCCAAAAATCAGCTGAGTTAGGGAAGCTGTATTTCTGAAGAGCTGGCCACCTGTTAACAGCTTCTGCACAATTGAGAATATCACACACCAGTGGAATTTGTATTTTTATTATAAATTTATTTTTCCATTTGCTCTCCTTTGTATTCTTTTTTATCTACCTTTTTATGATGTTTCTTGAAATGTTAAAAATATATTGATATGAAGAAAGCCTGAGTAAATTTCCTGAACTCTTCTGGAGGCTGATAGATCAAGAGAACCAGTTACTGGATGTTTTCTGTCATTTTAATGATATCGGTGAGCCCACAGTTGAGCAAGCTACCTCTGGTGTCCCCAGTTTGACAGAAAAAGGACAAGAGAAAGTCATGACAATGGCAAGAGGGCTGAAAATTAGAGCGAAACTTCCGGGCGTGCTGTCTTTG